CCCCGCCCCTCCGCGTCGCCCCCGCCGCGAGCGGCCGGGCCCTCGCCGCGGGGAGCAGCTGCGGGCACCCGGGGGTGACGGGGGCGCTGCCCCCTGCTCCTGCCAGCGGGGCCGCTGCCCTCCCGCACCGCTTCCGAGCTGGCAGCGGGAATTTTTGTTACACCAGGTTTCGAAGCCTTGGAAATTAGCGTCCCCACAGCCGCTTTCTTTCGGGAAAGCTGCTCAGGGGAAGCCTCAGTGACTGAGTTTTCTTATAAATCACCCGTATTGTCATTTTAACCTTTTATTTTGTGAACGCTGTTTAAACATCCTGCCTCAGTGGGCAGTGATTTTTCTTTCTAGCACTGTTGAAGTCCTTCATCCCAAGGAGAGCAAGATTTCTGGGATCCAGATCCTGATGGTTTTATTTCCCACAAACCCATCACAGTTGCATTTAATGTGATAAATACAAAAGCAAATAGATTTTATTTAAAAAATGGGTTTATGTTAAAAAGATCTAAAATACATTCCAGTGACGTTCCAATATTCCATATCCAAGTGATTTTGAATTTGTAACAATTTGACCCCCAAGCATAGCTGACTTACTAAGCTTCTAAACTCAGCAGACTTGGGAATTTAAATAGAAGGAAGCATTTTAGGTGAAACTTAAAAGGTAGCACTAAATGAAATCTGCAGTGCACCTCTGCAACTGTTCGGCATATGAATTTTCCCCAGGCTGGCTGCCTCTTCCACAGCATACCCCTGTGCATCCAGGCTGTTCCTTTGCACAGCGCACTCGCCGGTCGTCCTCACCTGCGTTGATCCGCTGCAGTACGCAGCTGCGCGAGCTACCCCGCCACCAGCCCTGCCACCCCTCTGGTGCTGGAGCTCTGTGGCTGCCTCACTGTCTCTTTCCTACGCTGCATCCTTAAAACTCCTAATTCTTACTTCTTTGAATTATTCTATCTTTAAGTCAATATAACAGATGGGTTTTTTAGCTTAAGAAAAATTATAATCCCTATATTACCATGACCTTTTGAAATGACAGTGAATTGATATTGGTTAATTTAACAGACAACACACAATAACATTGCTCACTAATGACTAATGATGACAATGGTAATTTGTTACCTGTTGTGACAGCATGACTGCAGACATCGTGTGTGTGTGTGCACGTGTGCGGTGGGGCTTAACAGCCACAGAAGGACTGTAAATATAATTCTTTAAAAACTAATTTATTCCTTATGAAGAAAACAGAATGACGATCTCGCACTAAAAAAAGCGTATTTGTAGCAGCTAACATAGCAACAGGTTGCTGCATTCAACCCTCTACAGATAGACCATTATGGAATTGCTATGACTAGCCAGGAAGTCACATACATCCAGTCACAAAGAGTGGAATTTTCCCCCAATACTCCTAAGTCTTTTGTGTCGTCTCTGTTTTGAAGGGCAAAGCACACATACCCTATTAAAAAAAAAAGGACAAAACAAAGAATTATCACAGTATAGCTTGCCATGGATTTTCCCTTGAAACTCCCATATGTCCTGGTAAGAAGACATACAAAAACTTGTAGAAAGCCAAGTTACTTGTGCATAAAGATGAAAGAATTTTCCTCATTCATTCATTAGAAAATTAAAAAACTTCTCAAATTAAATGTTTCTGACATTGCTGTGTCGAGCATCACACACATGTACCAGACTGAGGGCAGTCACACATCCAGGTGTGCACCATGTAGTCATTTATATAGGTACCATGAAAAAATCCTGAGACTACTGCATTTCCACAGAGGGAAGAGAGGAAAAAACAAAAAAAACCCATAACAAAACAAATTACATGCATAGGCGAGAAATGGAAGTGTTAAAGGAGCAGCCGCTGCCCAAGCACCCCTCACCATTTGGGGAGTCGCACACACACCACCCCAGACTGTAACCACTGGGACGAGTCCCTGCGCAGCGGGCAGCTCCAGCGAGCCGGTGGGTGCCCCCATTTTGATTCCTCGCCCACACACACTCACCCGTGGGGGCTTCCTTTCCCCTCGGGCTTGGCCCAAAGTTTCCCCGAAGCAGTCTTCCCCATGACGTATGCCCGTCCAATTTATTGAGTGCTACAGCAGTAAAAAACAGCTCAAGCTCGGTGCCCCTGGAGAGGGACCCCGAACAAAGAAATCCCTTGGGCAATTACACCCTCACAATTTAAGTTCCCCTCCCGTCATGCGACAGTTCAGTCCAACAGCAATGTTTGGGTCTGGGGTCTTCCTCTTCCTCACTGGGCCCTTCCACTGCCTCCAGGCGGGACATGCCTTTCCTTACCTTAACGGACGCAGCTTCTGCCGATGGCTGTGGCTACCTTCCCTTTCTGGTTTGCAGTTTCAGGGGCCTTCATGCAGCTAAGGAGAAGTCCAGCGTACGGTCAGTGTATCTAGGGGACTGAGTTCACAGCTTGCGCCTTTAGCAAGCCTTGCGACTGATGCCCTGCGATGGGTTCCGTTTGAGCTAGGAAGTGGCTTCTACAACACAAGGGAAGTTTCTGAACATTCATCCAACAATTAAAAAGCATTAAAAAGGTGGGAGACTAGGACTATCCCAAATGACGTCAATGTGGAAAACACAATTCCAGCTCCAGAATGTTCTTTCCCTTTTTATAAAAATATTTGCAGTCATGTAGAAAATTTCAAGCCAAGTACATTTTGCATCTGCAAATGGCCACAACTATTTGAGTAACTGATAGGTCCTATGCCTTCGATGAACGTCCTGAAGTACTAATGAGTCTATTTAACATTTATTTGTGACATCAGAGGTATGTCCAGTTCAAGCTAATAACTCCAAGAGAAAGCAGAAGATGCTGAATTCTTTTGTGCTTGGTTAATAAATAAGATCACAAAGAAGAAACCACCAGTTCATACACAATGGTTTGTTTGCTTCTGAGAATTTTGGTCTGGGCCGACCATTTACCCACAGGTGCTATTTCTTGTCTAGGTATTGTTTCTGGAAAAAATACAGGGGAATTTACTCTTTTGAAAGAGATACTGTCTTTCTATCAACCGTGCAATGTATTTTCTTTGTTTGGGAACTGTCACTGTCAAGGCCTCCACTGAATATACTTACTAAACGCGTGATGTGTGCCATGGGGCTGTGCTGATAAACCAACCCAGTGTTAGATGTATTTACGGAAGAGATCAGATCATCAGACATACCGAGATAAGTTGCACCCCAAAGGCCCCAGCTTGAAAGAAAGAAAAAACCCAAAACACCCAGATTGCTCCCAAACTTCATCAGCTGCTGGAATCCAGGCAATCCTACTTGTACTTCTAGTTCAGGACTACAGTTGGAAGAATGTTAATTATTAAAGTACATGCAGTGAAATATATGCAGGTTTGCCTTCTAAATCTCCTTTCTGAGAGTGCTCTGTCAGGACAAGATTCTCACTTCATCTGAACTGCAGAACACCAAAGTCTCTATGCAGTAAAACTATGCACAGTTCCATTACTGTGCAGTTTTACAATTTGCTTCTTCCAGGAGCCACTCAATTCCATTTAGCAATCCAGATAAAGTTGCAGCTACAGTGTCCTGCACCTGTAAAAATAAAAAAAAGCTTATGTATTAGAGAAAACAGGCAACAGGATCTAACAGCATTTTAGCATCACTCCCAGTCTATCCTTAAAGTCAGAAATACTCGTATCAAATTAAATTTTTATCACTGGTTTAAAGGTCTCTTAGACTAAAAAGGTGTCTTAGGAGTAAGGTACAAAAAGAAAATGCTCCTCTTTACAAAATGTATTACAAGACCCATTAGAAAAGCCTTGTGTTCTTGGTATCAAGGTGAATTTTATCTCGTTCATTCCATCAGCTATTCTGATGGATATATACTTAATTTATGGATGAGAATCTACTTGAAAATTCTTCTCTTAACTCTTTAAGCAAAAATGCTGCTTTAGAATTCAATGCGTATTGCTAAGATCTCAGATTTTGCAATGTATTATAAAGTGGCTTTTATAAATGGTATGTTTTTTAAAAAGCCTGTAAACACTTTCCTTATGAAAACAAAGGAATTATCTCAAATGGGGATTTTGGTTTTTTCTGATTAAGTATTATTCTTCAGCTACACAACATCACCAAAAATAAATTATGTGTGGCTGAGCCATACTGATACCTACTGTGTTTGACAAGCAAAAAAGAACAGGTTCAGGACCTCACGTGCTAGGTAAGAAATGATTTGTCAAAACTCAATACATCACGTCAAGCGAGTGACAATTAAGAGTCTCCTAAAAATGGCAGAAAAATCTACCTTGCGTCCAAGGCCTTGGGATGTGCCTCAGGAAACTTAGCTTTAAATTAACTGAAGCTTCCAAGACCAGCATTTTGTCCTTCCTTATATTCTGGCTCCATCTGAAGTTCCTTGTGAGCTCCCGGGCAAGCCACTTAGCTCCCCTGTGTTCAGACAGGCTAACCTTAGAGGACCAGAGAAACTAAATTCTTCACTTAGGTGGAGAGCTCATGTACTAGTGCTGAAAGCTGCACACCTGCTTAAGCAGGTACAGTTCAGGAAATACTATAAGCCTAAATTAAACTTAAGCCACACAGAAATAGAAAATGAAGGTTTAAAATCCAGTACCATCCAGGGCTGACGTAGCAGATTTAGTTGCAACTGATGTGCCATGTAAACACATGGAATTCTTTTCACACTGACATGAGAGACACAAGACAAAACTAGCAGAGGTCTGTTCGGAGGCCCCAGTGATGGATCAGTCATTGCCAAAATATGAGTCAGCTCCTCTTGACGATCATGCTCTAAGAAACAAGTTTTAATATGTGAGTAATTAAATACATGCAAATCCCAAGGAGAACTTTTTTTTTTTACACTTTTTAAATATTTAAGATTTCAGAGGTGAGGAAATAGAGGGCTGGAAGGGGCATGGCCAAATTATCTAATTCTGCTTGTCACAAGGCTGGATTGTCCACATTCACGTTACACAGGTGTTCATGTCAAACTGTTTAATTAAAGATCTCCATACATTCTATAGGCAGCCTGTTCCAGTCTTTAACATCAGAGCATTATCCAAGTACCTCACAGAGATCAAAACTGCAACAAGCCATTAAGACACATTCGCACATCATACAGTCAGCAGCCCTTCCCTACGGACTGTACTTTTCTCCTTAGTGTATCCCTTCACATTTTTTTTACCCTCCTCTTTTCTGAGCTAGCCCTCTCCCCCTGTTTAAAGTTGATGAATGTAAAGACAATTACCATAACACGTATTTGGATTATCCTCTTGTAGGACTATCTATATTGGGACTAATTGCATCTTTTACTGCAGTTTTCCTGGTGAAGGTTCTGTTTCCAGGCTATTACACCACCACTGATGCATTTCAGGCTCCTTTTCCTACCCATGCCCAGGTTTTGTTGTTTTTGTTTTGTTGTTGTTGCTGTTTTTTAACTCCAGACCATTTCCCAGGTGTAGCTTAGATAGCAACCACATCAGTATCTGCCACAAACAAAAGAAGGGGCCATAACCCCATAACATAAGGGAAAGCGTCTAGGACAGGGGACCCCTTTGACTGGATAAGCCATGAAGAGCGAGCATTAATGAAGCAGATTTTGAAAGAATCAAACATGGATTTTGATGTATTGCGTATTTTTAGCAATCTTTTATAACATCCCAATAATTCACAAAATATGACTAAATAAAGTAAAGAGAAACCCCTTACTTGTATGAGCTTCTGCATTAGCAACATAAATGAATCCTTCAACTACTTCGCACACCTTTTTCACTTGAGCTATTACACTGTAGTGCACGGTTTGCTGATCCCCTACTATGCTGTTCTCTTGGTAGAACATCTTATTCACAGCAACAGCTTGCTTTGCCCTCGCTCTCCTCCTTTCCACACTGAAAGATATTTCAATATTTCAGCAGTCAGGTTAATTGAGAATGCAAAAACTCAATTTTGAGAGTCTAAGCAGCACAGAAAAGGGACAGGAAAATGGTCTGAGTCAGCAAAACAGTTTCATTTCTCCTCGTTCCCTCCTGCCCCCCACCTCCCACCTTCTTTTCTAGCGTAGATACAGGTGGTAAGCAATCTGCAAGATGCATCTGAAAATACACCCCAGGATGAGTTTATATAGTGTTTCAAAAGGGAATCAATCAGCTATCAAGAGGGACAGAAGCACCTGTTACTTATTTGTCATATACATTTGCTATGTATAAGGTTTGGAAAGGTTTATTACTTCCACGTGGAAATGTAGCGGTTGGAGAAAGAAAGATGAAGATATGCATTGAAGCTTCAGTTTATAAGGGATATCCATGCATGTGAATGCATGCATAAAAATCACATGATGAAAACATGAAGAAAAGTACAAAATAACCAAGAAACTGTACTCTTTTTTTTGGTGGAGAACAAATCTTACCTGGTGGTTGAATATAATGTCAGAATATTGAATTTTTGATTGTTATTAAACTGAAAACTGACTCCTGATCCGATTCCTACAGGGGAAAAATTAATATATGAGATTACAACTACTTGGCTACTGAATACAATTAAGTGGTAGGCTGAAAATTCCAGTGGTGCTATAAAACGGCTATATCCAAGCCTAGGTGTTGCTGCTAGGGGTACCATACTTATTATTTTATGATGAAGTTTTATACATGCTCTAATTGATCAGACTATTAATTTAATTAAAAATCAAATCAATAGTATTAACAGAAAACAAGGAGGCATTTCCATGTTTCTGATACTTAGAGTTGAACCTAGAAAGCTAAGTCAGAGAGGAGCTAGACTTGTGTTTATTAGCTGAAACTGGCAGAGCAAAGGCTCTAGTCTGTTTATGAGAAGCTGCATTGAAAAGAACATGACAGAAAAAAGGTAACAACACTATGAAATAATATTTTCACACTTTCTGCAAATACCATCTAATTATTTCAATTCTGCTGTGCTGAAATAAACGTTAAAAAGTAATAAATTTTTCTCTCCAGTTTGGACAGAAGTAAATTACAGATGTTCAAAACTACGTTTAGACATTGAAAAAAATCCTTCACCTGCTCCTATAAATCTTCTAAATGAAATTTTCACCATTTGACACCACAAGACTGAATCATAGAAAGGATCAGTCTCGACTTCCCGTATTTTAGCCACTTACTGCAAGCAGTATCTAAAGAAAGTTCTGTCTGCATTTTTCCACTACAACAGCAGGTGTGACATGGAATTTAAGATCAAAAGTACAAGGAGCAAAATGATCCCTCTGGCACTGTGCAAATTTAATCATAAATTCACTGCAGCTACAGTTTTATCCCACATGCTCATTATATTTATCCTTCTGAATAAATACAAAGAGTGAAAATATCTTTTTTTTTTTTAACCATTATGCTATTGAGTTTCAAGGGGAGAAAAAACACCCCTTTTCCCCATTTCTCCCCCAGCTTTTTTTGTGCTATATCTATTTACAAAATAATAAAAAACCAAACAGCAAAACCAGCATTACCATGAATTTGTCTTTGAGGTAGGCCAGCTACTATCAGAATTTCTGGGCTTGTCATCATCTTTTGCACTAAAGAGCAGTCCAGCTCTTCCAAACCTGGCCCAAACATAGCAAAGCGAGGTTCTGCCTGAGTGACCAGTGATTGCAAAAAGGAAGTCACAGCCCCATACCGGGGACGGCTCGATTTCAAGCTTCTTCTATTCTGAGGGCAGCTTTTCTTATATCTGTGTAAAATAGACACAACTAGAAATTAAACACAAGATACAAGAGGTATTAATCCAACAACATAAATTGATTTAGGCCCCACACTTCTCATGCTTTGTCACTGGTACAACTCAAGCACAGGTGAAAAATGATGAAGTTCCAAACTGATGGTTTCAAGCACCAGTACAAAACAGATAAAGGCATCAGTCCTTTTGAAGCCCAAATGCTGACTTTTTGGACCTTAGTACACTTCTATCTATGGGTATTTTAGTTTACTTTAAAAAATAAAGGAAAATAAAATTACAAATTCCCCTACCCTCGCTGAACACACAATATTGGTAAAATAACATCAAAGCTGGTGAGTCACATACAATATAAAAAATATGACACTTGTGAATGCATTTCAAATGTTAATTAGACTGCTTTTGTATTTATTAACTATGAAACATGTAACTCCACCTGAAAAGGACCATTTCACCCGTAGGCACAGAGAATGCATGTTGGGAAAGGAGACAGGTGGTGTCTGCAAGCTTATGTGCTCATTTGATGCAGAAGCTAGAAGGCACGGAAAGACTTTGGTCATCAAGAGAAAGCAGTAACAGCCACAGAAGTGACAGACATCCTAGAGAAGCAGCTTCAGCCTTAGCTTCTGTGGTCCCGGCAGGCTGCTGCTGGACAAACCACTTCAAGGAAGCATTAAACACGTGCTCCTCTACACCCAAACCGAGACGCTTCAGGTGAGATCAGCAAAACCATTACATGCTCACAGAGACAACGGAAATCAGTGACAGATGGTTTCAGATAGGTGATGCTCTGAAGTACTCAGACCTAAAGAGATTTAAATCCAACATTTGAAATCAGTAGATATTTTGCACTTCAAATTCTGGGTGCGTCTTTCCCATCTGTAAAGTGGGGATGGAGGGCACAGAGATTGCTGAGGTTAGTGCACTTATCATGAAGCAAAAGTTTCAGGAAATCACCTTTGCAAAATTTAACTGCAAAATAAAAAAAAAATTACTGCAAATTAATTAAGGGAATCAAATGAAGTTTAAAAAAAACCCCATAGAATAATCTGCTTGTCTTAATGTGTTTGGATGACTGAGAAGAACTCTTTACAAGTGTTGCTATGCTTTCCAGCTATACTAGCTGAAACCACAGTCTTTGTCTCACGGCCTTTGACCATCAGAGCTAAAGCAAAACCACCTAATCTGTGCACATTCAAACCCCCCTTTTTTTCCCCCCCTAGATGAAAAGATGCAAAAAGCAAAGATTCGTTCCACTTGCTGTAGTTTGAAGACTTCTTAGTACTTTTATTAAAATAAGAAATCATTTGTCATTGTAATGGGAGCAAAGAACACATTTTTATCATGCTCAACAGTACGCACAGATGACTGCATTTCTGTGGCATAGCAGACATGCAGTTTACAAAAGCTTTGATTTTATTTTTTTAGTAACATTAGCTTTGACTTTTTTTTTTTTTTTACGTTTTACATTCTTGTGGAATTCCAAACAGAGAGAGCTGACCAAAGGGTCAAACAACAGGAAATTGCATTTCCAAAATAAACAATGGATTTGAGACACATTAAAATTTAAGCAGCGGCTTTACCGCTGTAAATATGAAACATGCCTGTGGGCTGAACATTACAGCTGTGGAGAGACTGTAGGTCATGCAAGAGAATATGAAGATACTTACACTGCCATGTAATCATACAGCGTGCTATCACTGGCCTCTGAAAAGGTTTTATTGAAAATCTCCACATCTGGGAGCGATTTCCAATCAACGGATGTCCAGAAGGGGAGATCCCTCAGGAGAAAATACCTCCACAGCAACGGATCTTGCACAGCTGCCCTCCAGTAACAACTCGTGCTTCCCAAATGGCACAAATCTTGGGGCGAGAGGAAGGACATGATGTTCAGCTGCACGTCGATCTGGAAACAGTCGAGAGTTAACCATTCAGGAATTGAGCTGGGAAGATGCGAGATGGTGGGATGACGAGATTATTGTTTCCCTCCCCCCCCCTCACCCTTCCCTTGCCTCTGACCAGACCCCACTCACCGGTAGCGCTTGCAGGGCGCTCACCTCCTCCACGTCCTCAAAAAAGTTGCTGTCAGGCGAGCCCGGGGTGGAGCAGAGGGAGACAGCGTCATCCTCATGTGGCAGCTTACGACACGGTCGTGTTTTGTTGGTTTGTGAGGTTTTTTGTTTTTGTTTTTGTTTTTATTTTTTTCCCTCCAGGAAATACTCGATGAGACTTCGGACCCATATCCCAGGAGTTCTTTGCAACGCATGTTTTTAATGCAACAAAAGTACACATTTTGATAAGAAGAACAGCCAGACACCGAAGCAGAGACCAGCTCCCTAAGCCTGTTCTTCTGACGAGAGGTTTCTTCCACAAAGCAGCGTATTTTCGTGGAGTCGTTTCACGAAGTAATGCAGCATTTGCTTTGCTGTTGTTGTGTTCCACCCCTGGCCTTTTAAAGGTCCCTCACAGACAGCCACATACTTTGTTAACACATTTTTGCCCGTTTCTCGAAAATCCAGTGACACAAGCTGTGATCTGCAGCCCAGGTCACCGTCAGAGACAGAATCTGTCGTCTCGAGGCTTTCCCGCTTCCCTTCTCCACAGTGCTGCAGGCCCCAGTAGCACATTTCTCCGCTGTACATCATCGCCAGTAAGTGAGTGTCACTAAATATACCTGCAAAAATAATTTAGACCTAGTACTTCATTGTTCTAAGCAAGTACACAGCTTGTTAATTTTGATTTTTTTTTTCAGTAACACTGGAAAAAAAATCCAAAAAGGCAGTATAAGCCTACTAAAGAGGTACACCAAAACCCTCAAATTTTACCCATGAGATGACTGACACTGCCAGGAAGATAACCTGGATCAAGGCCTTGCTCATTACTCTATCCATTTTGCTCCTCCGTAATGCTAAAATCTTTAAGATCGCCACATAAATGCTATTCTGACAATTGTGTCTGCCTATTTATCTTAGAAAATTCCGGTCTTTCTTTACAATTCATTAAGCACAGGCATGATTATGTGTATTCATTTTAGAATGTGCCTCCCACAATTTAAGCCTAAAAGATGCTGTTTGAGCATCATCTTAACTCAGGTTAATGAGCAGCAGCTTTGGTATTTGAATAGAAAGCCACATACATGCCCACGGTCACTGAAAAAAAAAAAAATCCTGCTAAATAAACCTACAAATCAGTTACTGAACTTGGCTTTGCATTCTGGAGCTGAATTGGAGCAATGCCACTTTCAGATGAAATTAAGCAAGACGGTGCTCCATCCCCCCCATAGCCAGACTAGAGCTAGTTTTGAGCATGTACAATGTGAACATCATGTCTTCAGCACTGTTTTACCTCACAAATTCCCTCCTGCTGTTACCACCCTACCTGCATCACGCTGATACAGCCTCAGATCCTCATGTAACGGTACTATAGTAACGTAACTTACATAAAGCTACACAAAGTGGAGACAGTGAGAATGAAAGGTTGCCAAATCTAACCAATTCTGTATGTACTTCCTACCCATGTGCAGTCAGTAGTTCTGTGTTTGTATCTGTGTTCTCCTAAATCTAAACAGGAAGACCAACATGGGAACCTCTAGCACCCTCTGCAGTCATATCTGTGCTTTCAACCCTTGTCAAACAACAGTTGGAGGGTCGTAAAACACACATGCTGTGCACATAACGCCCATTGCCTCAGTGCACTTTCCTCCAGTGTACTCAAAAACACAGAGAAAATAAGCACAGCCACCTCCTAAAATCCATGAGTCAAAAAGAAGGGGGATGCCTGTGAGGGGGCTGGAAAGCACTGCTGCCTGCTTATCCACCTCATCTGTTATTTTTTTGGTTGTTAAAAAAAGTGACACCTTTTGAACACAAATGAAGTCAAACAACAAAAACATGCAATAAAGCATTTCATGAAGTGGAGCAGTTATAAAGAGGAGCGGGTTGTGGGGTTTTTGGAGTGGTGGGGTCTTTTTTTTTTTTTTTTTTTTTTTTTTATCGGTTAGACATCCTTTCCTGAGGCCGCAGCGTCTGGAAGTGAGGTGTCTTCATCTAGCTGAAGAGGGCATCTAATGCTAAGCATCTTCATCAAGTAACGAACTCCATCATTAAGACACTGAGTACGGTTAAAAAACAAGGAAAAAAAACCCTTTTAGATAAGCCGATTAATTTAATGATAGCCAGAAATACTTCTCGCTATGAATTTCCCAAAACCCTATGTAAAAGGAAACAAAAAAGAAGCTATATTTTAAAAGCAAGGAGTCAAACTTTAAAACTCCATTCACATGCTCATAGAGCTTTTTGATCTCCTTTACCTTTTTAAATATGGCAGTGTTTTCTCGTAGCCATTCACTCCTTTCTTTTGCTGTATAACAATACATGTAAAGCAGGGCTCCTTTTCTCCAGTAAAGACATTCTAACAACTCTGTACCAAGGATGTCGATGGGCTGAAATAAAATCCAACAAACTGGGCTAGCCCAAAAGTAAACCATCTGAACTAGTCATATACATGCTCACACATGCAAACAGTGTTAAGTCTCTAGCTTTAGAGGCTGTACTTAACAGCAACAGTCACAGACACAAGCCTAATACTTTAAACTGCCAGAAGCACATGGAATCGTGACATGTTAGCAAGAAAAATTCCAAGCACAAAACAAGTTATTCGAAAAAACAATTTTCAGGAATCACTCCTTAAATACAAGTAAGACTTGAAAATTTTTCAAAAGGTCTTAAATTCTGCCCTGCAAAAATACAAATACTACTATCCCACTTCAGATCCTTTATGTTTAAATAATGAGATAACTAATTCTCTGGCTGAATAACGCTACTACTCACTTCTTCATTTATGTTGCACTCCCTCACTAGGTCTTCTGGTTCTGAAAGAACAGAAGTAAGTTCTTTAACTTTTTGCAAGGAAGTTTCTTCTGGAAAATCTTCATTCACAAGCTGGTTTTCCTCAAAATATGTAATGTCTAAGACTGCCTATGAAAAGAAGAAGATACAAAATGTAAAAACGCTAGCAGCAAAATAATCAAATAGTGCTGTGCAGTAACATACAAACTTGCTAGTTTATAAAACACTACAGTTTAAAGGTAACTTTTAACATTTACCTTACAAAAGCTGCTAGTTAAAATTATTTTAAGATTGTTGACCATGAACATAAACTCAAAACCCTTTCCATCCTTACAGTATCAACACAATTGTTATCAACTCTTAAGTTATCTTCTAATCCAGAGAAAAGCAGCCCTGCACTTCACGGATGTTCACTGCACACACCAAATATGAGAGATTCCTTTCTGCCATACCCTCTTTCCTACACCCAACCCTCTTCCATACCCTACACCGCAGATTTTCTTGAAGGGGAGTTCTTAATGCTTTAAATATACTACCTGTGTATAGAGCTGCAAAAGTGCGGAAGGATGTTCTTTCCCTTCGTTACAGAGGTCCTTCAGTTTGTCCAGAGTAGCAGAGCCCTTTGCTAAGAAGGTATCTGAAGGAAGAATACAATGCTTCCTTAGCACTGGAAGGCACTCAGCATGAGCCTTGCCTACTCTCCCTTTTCACTTCAGATGGTTTTATCCATCCTTGTGGTATCTACAAGAGCAGCTGAATACTACAGCATTTAAACAGGCTCTCTGTCCTGCCAGACTACCCCTTTCACGACTAAATTAAGGGCATTGACAGTTACGGCCTGATGCTTCAAAACCAATTCCACGTGCAAAGAAGTCATACACCAAAAGCACAACTTGCTAAGGCGCAGGTACACATCTTGGGCCTCCGCCGCCCTGCTCCACAGAAAAGACTCCAGCCAGCGCCTCCAGACGGAGGCCTG